CATGCGTTTTGTGCAATTCAGCCCATCGAATGATTGCCTATTAATGATTTCCACTGCTTTGTACTTCAGTCTATGCAAAAATAGTTCAAACATTGGAAAATAATTAAAATTTCACGCACCAGCGCATGAAAGCTGAATTCGATACCTTGAAGGGTAAATATTTTTCCGTGATTTCCGAATTAATAGTTTACCCGCCAGAATTCTCACGAGGCCGTAGGTGATACTCAAGAGCGAAGGAACGCTGAATTTGAATAGGCAAGGTTGAGCGTGGGCAAGGGGTTATTACACTAAAATTTCAGCCTCCTAGACCCCGCGCTTCCTGAGATCATTTACCTGTAAAAACTTTCACTAACCCGTAGGTGATACCCGGGAGCGCGGGAACGCTGAATTTAGATGGGCAAGGTTGAGCATGAGCAGGGGGTTATCGTCCTAAAATTTCAGCCTCCTAGACTCCGTGGTTCCTGTGATATTGACTTACTCATAAAAAACTTTCACGAGGCCGTACTTGTTATTCGCTGGTACGGAAAAGCTGAATTTAAATATGCCGCGTCACCCGCTGGCGGGAATACTATACCAAAATTTCAGCCGCCTAGTTTTTGTTGTTGCCGAGTTGAAAATACGGGACAAAATGTGGGACGCACACAAACAGACAACTCCGTGACAATATTCGTTTTGTACTGCTGTTACACAGCACAAAACGCATTATAGCGGGATAGAATGTCGAAAATCATTCCGATGGGATCCTTTTGGCCTGAGGTTTTCTTGATTGGAATTCCTGGATCAATACAGCTCCCCAGCAGTCTGATTCTCCAGCTATGCAGCTGACAACTTTTGCAATTACTGTGTGACCAGTGCCGCTCCCCTGGCTTATCAGCCGTGCTGGCGATTTTGGCGTTCGTTTCGTCTCCTCAAGGGAATATCAGACAGCGATTCTCCGGTTAAAATCGCTTGGAAGAATTTCAGTAATTTTGAGATTTGCTCTGCGTTCCAGTAGTTTTAAGATTTTTAATAATCATATTTTTTGTTAGAGCAGCAAAAAATATGATTAATATCAAAAATCTGCAGTAACTGAACGTTGGTGTTACACACAGCAAGACAATGAGTTTTTATGTGTTTTTTGCAACTATCCAGTGAGAAAACGCATAATGACGAGGAGTTGTGTGTGTGTGCGCGTGTGTCTGTGTGTGTTTGTGTGTTCGTCTGTACCGATTTTTCATTTCGAGACTTACGCAAGCTATAGGCTGAAAACTTTGGGAACCTAATCTACATACATGTGGGGGCTCCCATCCCCAAAATGAGCGCTCTCATCCGCGTGAACTCACGTACGGGCCCGCCAAAATTTTTTTACAGGCGGGCTGCCAATTCGGAAATCGGAGAAGCTGGAAAGCTGAAATTTTAAGGGGACGTTCTTCGTCTACGTAGATGTTAATGAGCTCAAACCCAGGCACCAGGTATGCGTGGTACTCACGTACAAACTCGTGAAATTTTTTACGGGTAAACCGCTAACTCGGGAATCTCAAAAACTAGAAGGTCGTGGTTTTAACGAAATGTTCTCCGTCTACGTAGGTGTTAATGAGCTCAAACGCAGACAACGGGTGTACACGGTTCCTATGTACGGCCCCGTGAATTTTTTTGTAAGTTGCTAACTTAAGAACCAGGAAAGCTAGAAGGTTGAAATTTTAAGGGGGTGTTTCCTGACAGTCCTGACGGCCAGTCTTATTTTGTTTGTCTGGAAGCATCTGCAAGAAAAACCAATGCCGTTAGTGACAAAAATCTGCGGGGAACTATGCAAAAAGCACATCTTCGCACTGGCAGTTGCTGTGCTGGCCGTTTATTTGATTTTGACAGTTCATTTCACGTCCCCTGTATCTCGTTTTTGTACCACTAACTTTGTAATTGACTATTTATTGCAGGAAAAGATCAAGCACCGGAATAAGGAGAATTATGGCGGTGGCGGTGGTGGATCGCGACGGGATAAACGACTTTCCAGGATACGCAGCATCGATGATTCGTTCCTGAAACCCACCGCAGCTTATCATACAGTGACGCAATCGAGGCACGCAAAAACTTCCCGGTCCTGTATTGGTGGTGATGAATACGACGAATACGACAAATTTCGTCATTCAGTCGATTTTCCCAATAGGGTAAGTTCATCATAAATTTGTCCCAGGTCTGAAGAATAGGGTCTTGTTTTACTGTTTTCGGGTCAGTGAATCAGCTGAGAATTTGTCCATGGTTGCTTTAACTGAAGCTTATCTCCTTAATGCTAAGCGTGTTATTGCTCATGACAACGATATGCAGTCACTTTTGCCCCTGTGTCTTCACAGACGGGTCCAGGACGGATTCGTAAGGGAGAGGAGTGAGAGGGGAGGGGAAAGGAGGAGGTGGGTGGGTAGGAGAATGCAGTTCCTTGAGGAGTGGGGAAAGGAGGGGGGCCGGGGAGAGGGGGGAACCGACAGGTGGTGGAGGGGGAAGTCCCATTCCACCCTGCAACTGTGCAAAAATCAAGTACAGAGATATAACATTGCTACTTTGAGTTACTTTAGGCTTTAGTTTACTTTAGTTTTAGCTTTAGACCCGGGTTTTTGCAGCACTAGTGCCTGTGCCGCTGATGAGGGGGAGGGAAAGACCCATCGCCTCCCCCCCTCCCTTCCCCTGCCCCTCCGCTTTCTTGGGTCCGCCTATGTGCGTCCTTTACTGAAAATAAAAGGATCAAATATATCGCATCCCAGCGACTACAAATAATATTCTTTAGCGTTGGATATCACTGAACCCCCTCCTTTCCCCCCCCCCCCCCCCCCCCCCCCCCCCCCCCCCCCCCC